TGATAAAAAAAACACATAATCTTAGTCAGAATATTAAAAAAAATAATTGAAAAGTCTAAAACTATTTGGTAATTTATTTGTTATATATTTGCTATTAGTTTATATAATAAACTTACTTTGATATTATGCATATTCATTACTAAATTAAATTGATATTTTTTTTATAAGATTTTCTTTAAAAGTAATACTTTGAAATATAGCAAAGCTCAAATATTTAATGATATACATAACAATGCTAAACCATAAATTGTTTAACTATTCAAGTTTATATTTGCTTTATTATTTACTTTCAAATAAAAAAAAATTATTTGAAGCGATGATCTAATTTCTAGTGCAGTTTAGTTTTGAACTTGCTTTTATATTTTTTTATTTTATTAAAAATTGTAGTCTTTTAATGATATAGGATTTAAATTGATTATCTTATTATCAAGATAACAATTTAGAAATGCAATTATAGCATCTTTAATTTTTTATTATATTAGCTTGGTTTTTAAAAGAAAACTTATAAAAGCTCTAAGGTTTTATTATATTAGAAATATATACTAACAACCAGTATATGATTTTAGCTAATACTTTAAATTTAAATACTTAATGCAAAATAGTATTAATTTTAAAATTTTGACAAAAGATGCATATGAATATTTATAAAAAAATAACAAATTTTAAAAAAAAAATTTAGACTCTTAATCATTATACAGTGCAGACAACCTAGTCCTGACCAATAAAATTGATGTAATTCAAATTGCTAATCCTTTTTTAAAAAAAATAGTAACCAAAAAATATTATCTTAAAATATTAAATCAAAATAAGCTAAACATTCCTAAGTTTTTAAATTTTTTTAAATTTATTTATAAAAAAGTTATAGCAAGTTGAAGTTATAGTATTTTTATAATTAAATATGAAATTTGACCACCTTTTATATATATAAAAATGCAAATTTGGCCTCTTTAAACAATTAATTTTATTTTTATATATATTAAAATTTTAAATTTGGCCACTTTATATATAAATATTAGCTAAATTTTCAAATTGGCCTCTTTATATATATAAAAAATAAATTCTGAATTTGGCCACTAAAATTTTTATTGGTTGGGACTAACTAGGTTGTTCGCACTGTAGTACTATATATACGTATATATATATATAAGATATAGTATAGTTAATGATGTAAATTGGATTCGCGCAAATTTAAATCTATGTACGCTGCGCCTACTGCGCATATATCAGCGCTCTCCGTATATAAAGCGCGTATAAATCTTTTTTTTTGCATATTTTTTTGCGTTTGCGGCAATAAAAATTTTTTGAATTTATAACACTGACTGGTATTATTGCTTTAATGCCGACCTAGCTCCAGTCTATTCCCGACCCTAAATTTTGGTTGATTTGCTGAATTTTGGAGTTTATCACGATCAGCATAATTTTTTTCATATGCAAACTATATACAGTACGTATTACGCATTTAATACTGTAAAACCCGATAATTAAGTCGAAAAACAATGTTAATTCCTTAACTGAATTAATGCATGTTATGATTATCTTCGATTATCTTCACAATGGTAATATCCAGGATTTATGATCACACTAATTCGAAAATATATAGTGATAAATGAAAATATTTATTGTATATAAAAATGTGAAGAGAAAGCTATAATTACGAATAACTAGGAACCGGAAAAATTTTAGTACGTATGAGCGTTCGATTAATTGCTCCAACCCTGAAAAATCTGGTCATGTATATTGCAGATCAAAATTGTCAGGGGTGTTACATATCGAAACTATGTTTTTGATATTTTTATTATAGATGTGATTTCAGTCATTAAAAGCGCATAGAAGTACGTATGAGTTCTTCGCTTCGCCCGGACAAAAATATGGTTTTATCGAAATTATATTTGAACTGAATCAAATTTTGTACCAATTCAAAAAAATGGGTAATAATATCAAAAGCTTAGAGCAAGCAAAATATGAATAGGTGAAATAAAAATATTACTATATACGTAGTAATAAACTAATACGTACTGTACGTAACTTTGATAAGTAAAATTTTCCTTGTAATTTTTTGTTAATACAATTTGTTCAATTTACTACGTAAAAATGTTACTTTCTAAAAACAGATTAATAAATCATACGTACGTATTCTTACTGTATTAATTTAGATTACAATGCTAAGTGGATCTGCTACATAGGAGGATAAAGGAAACTTTACTGAACACATATCTGACTTGTTAGGTAAATTATAAATTTAAAAGCCCAAAATGTGATTTTTCTTTGGCGACACCCACATGGTAATCGATAATTTACTTTTATAGCTCAGTATTTTCATGTGATTGTATAATTTCAGAAATTTGGTATCCTTACTGTCGTTATGATTCGCAAGTAGCAATTTACGGACCACTTTGGTCCTATATCGAATTTTTATTATTGGTCTATACAACATGTGACAAAAAAGAAACTGTTCGGCATGTGAAAAATGGGTTTCCCGAGAATTTACCACACCTAAAGTTTCAAGCGTTTTTATTCGCCAGTTATTTTAGGTCATACAAAATTAATTTCTTGATTTCGGACTCGATCACTTGGATTTTTTAAAAAATTGTTCGGTCATCGTTATTAAAATACATAATTTTTTGTATGGCATTATTTAACAAGCCGACAGTCTCTTAAAGTATAAAAACTACATGTAGATATACATAATATGCAGTAGAAACTTCACTTCTAAATCTTAAGACTTCTGATTCGTTTTATTCTTTTTGCAAAGTAGGCATTACATCTTTTTGAATATAGGAGCAGTCTTATTTTCATTTGAAATATGCATTCTTAAAAAGTACTCTAAACTGCATAAATACAACTGAGTGATTAGCCAATCAGAAAAAAATTAGCTTATGGTCCAAAGACCAGTTCTGTCCATTCTTAGAATGAAATTATAATATAACATAAATAAAACGAGAACAAAAAAAAAGAGTTCGTTTAGTATAGTACGTACCTAAAGTAATTTTTAAGAGTATAAATTTCAATATTTTAACAAATTTCATCAGAAGACAAAGATCAATTCCTCGCCGGCAACAAATCCATGAATTTTCAAGAATGCATACTTGTGTCACGCATATATTTGTTGCGCAAACTACAAAAAGGTAGCGGTAAATAATGTCTCGATGTGTCTTGCTTTGAAACCAGAAAGCTATATACTTATTTTCTAAATGAAGTTCTCCATTTACCGGTTCCCAAACCTTTCCCTGGGACCAGTTTTGTTGAATATTTTCTTACGTATATAAAAGCAGTTTTTTTTTCTTTTTTTTTTTAAATCCTTTCACTTTTAGTGAAAAGGTGTAAAACTTCATATTTAAATTTTGTTAATAACATTTAACGCCAAAGCAATATTTAAAAATAAAAAAAATGTCAAACTACTCAAGGAGAAAACCTGTTCCCGATCAAGACAATGAGGATTCTTCTTTTCCCTTAAAAAATAATAAACCCGCGGCTGATTTGAGTTTTATGAATCAACCTCCGAAGATGCCTACAAAATCTCCTTTAAGAAATTCTAGTTCTACAGCTCCGACGAGTGGTTCAACTCAGACCACAATAATTCAACCTGTTATGAGTACCATGTCGATAACTAGCACTGTGTCGCCTACAACTCCGACTGTTCGTTCACGTCCTTCAGTGGATACCGCCTCGATCGATCGCGATTTACTATCCCCCGAAAAAAAAGAATATGAAGAAAGCATTAGATCTTTACAATCAAGGAGGTTGATTCAT